GGGGGGGGGGAAGTCACCTCCTACAATGTTTATAAAGTTGCCTAGAATAGCCCCAAGCCTCAGCAAATTGAAGCCTGGCAACTGCCCCTTGGAGGAGAAAGTTAGGAATGAACAGTCCTTCTGGCTCCGGCAGACCCAGCCCGTCCCACCGCCACCCAGAGAAATTCGGATATGAACAGGGGCTGTGTCCCCTGGGGAGGACGGGAAGGGCAGAGGCGATGTCCCCCTGGCAGCCCTCCAGGGACACCAGCTGGGGTTTGCTTCTCAGTGTGTTCAGTCCTTCTAAGTTAAGGTGACAGCAAAGCTTGTTTCTCCTCCCCTCATTCCCTTCCCAGCGCTACCCCCTGGTCTTTCAACACGCCTTGGTTTGGTCCTCTCCTCTTAACAGGGCATTCTGGGAAAAGCTATCCCCCAGGAGATGAACCAAGCAGGTGAGCAGGTCATTGGTACAAACGAGCACCACTTAAATGACTTGTTTTTCGTTGCATATGCTCTCAAACTCCAGGTGCACGTGGTCATCTTCTGCTCGGTATTTATTATCCCCACCTGAGGAGGCACACTGAGCTCTGGAATGACTTTTCCTTGTGTTTCAAAAAGTGCTGCCCAGAAGGGATTTAGAGGCTGGTGTTGGGCACAGTAATGCTGGTGGCAGGACCAGCCCAGGCTTTGTGGCCAAGACAGAGTGGTTTTTCCTCTCCCTTGCCTTTGGTGGTGTCCAAAAAAAGGTGTTTCCTCCCAGCCCAGGAAAGGGAAGAGCTGCTGAAGCCCTGGTGACTGTGACGGGACTTCCAGTGACATCAGCGCTGGGCATAGGGGTAAAATTGCGCATCTGCAGGCACACCAGGCTGCATTGCCCTGGTTTGGTCGGGACCAGGAGCCAGCGGGGACCCGCTGAGCTGGCTACCAAGCCTACAACCTTGAAACCAACTTGCTGGAAACCACAGATGCTGGTGGGGTGGGTTTCACAGCATCACCTGCAGCAAACACATGTGACCGAACGCACCAACCTGCCGGGCAGCAAGGAGAGCAGGCCACCAAGATGGGGGAGAGGACTGCCTGGCTCTGTTTGCACAATGC